GCCGAAGAAGGTCGTTAAGGAAGATCCCAACAAGAAGCTCAAGCGGGACAATCGGATCCCAGAGAAGGAGTGGAAGCTCATCGCCGATGCGGCCAAGAAGGTGCAGGGCGCTCGCCGGTGCCACTACTTCAACTCCTCGCTCGGTTGCGTGTCCGGCGACAACTGTCGTTTCAAGCACCTGTGCATGGTCTGTGGGGAGCCGCATGCCATGATCAGCAACCACTGATCGGTTCCCAGCGAATCTGATAGTGCTCCTCACCTTACCTTGTCCGGCGCGCGTGGGGGCTGTGATCTGGAATCCCGCGCACAAGATCTCCTGAAAAAGCGAGCTCCGCTTCTGCGTGAAGAGATCCTCGACTTGGCTACAGAGCTCCCTGTTCAGGGTCAGCATAAGGCTGCCGACGAACGAGGCGGGGCTTTCTTCGCGGGAGCCTATCGCCACGGAGGCATTACAAGACTGCGATCGTCCTGTCACTCATGGCCGTGGTCGATCAAGGCGATCACCACGTACATCGCTCAACAGGCTCCTGAGGCGCTCTTCACGTCGTTCGCCGTCCTCTACGATCAGGAGGCCGAACCTCACCGTGACTCGGGCAATGAGCCGATCCCGAACATTGTCTTCAAGCTCGGGTCGTTTGAAGGAGGCGGGCTCTGGATCGAAGACCCGCTCGGGCCCGATGTGAGAGAAATCGAGGGACGCTCCATCCCCGGTTTCCTCACCGACTTCGTCGACAATAAGATCCTCTTCAACGCTAAGGAAGCTCTGCACGCGACTTGCCCTGGATCGGAACTCGGGTGGTCCTCGCCGTGTACTCGGTGCAGGGGGTCGATCGGATCCCTGCCGACGAGTTCGAACAACTCCTTCAGTTGGGCTTCCAGCCGGCGACGGTGAACACAGGTGATCACGTGGATCGGTCCTGGCAAACTCTCACTTTTGCGCTCGAGACCCCGGACTCCGATCGGAAGCGGCCCCATGGCGCCCCGGTCAAAGCCGCGGAACATCGTCAACGATCGGCCGGCAAGAAGGCCGTCGCCGCGGGTTACCAGATGAAGAAGTCTGTCGTGGCTCCGCTGATCGGCACGGAGATGCACCCGGGTGAAGCGATCGCTTTCGCCTTGGAAGCTACGCACCCGTTCACAAAGGACGCGGATATCGACCCAGACCTCCTTGATGTTCTGGAGCAAATTGTTCGTGATCCTGCTCAAGTGCGCGATCGTCGAGCCTCTCTTCTGCAGCATTGGGAACAGCGAGCTCAAGATTTGCTCCCGTCCTCTGACTCCTTGCTCAAGCAGATACCAGATCGGCATCTGCGCCGTCTTCTTCGCGGCGGCCCAGACGGTCGTCCACTGGAAATGGGTCAGTTTTTCCACGTCGCCCTTTGGCGGGAGCTCATGAATGAGGCCAAATGCAGTGACACTGACCTGGTAGATCAGATCATGGCGGGCATGCCGATCGTCGGCGATATTGCCTCCTCCCACCGATGGAAGCCCGATCGCAAACCTCATGCGGAGCATCTCTCGGTTGATGCCCTTCGCTCGAGGGCCTGGGAATTTCGATCGAAGGTGTTAGGCGCGATTCGGAAATCTCCGATCACCGAGCACTCTCCCAAGGTCTGGGAAGGGACCATGGAAGATGTTCGAGAAGGGTCGGCGATCGGTCCCTTCTTCGACGAGGCCGAAGTCTCGGAGTTCGTCGGCGATGATCGTTGGATCCCTACTCAGCGCTTTGAAGTGGTTCAAAAGAACAAAGTCAGGGGAGTTGACAGTGCTACCTCAAATGGGATCAACATGGCGACGATCGTCACCGAGAAACTCGAACTCCCCTCGACGGACGCGAACGTGGCGGTGATCAAGTGGCTGCGCTCGCGGCTGCCGAAGTCCCCGCTACGTGGTTGGGTCCTGGACGAGCGGCGAGCCTATCGGCAGGTGCCGATCTCTCCGGCCCATCGCAAGTGGAGTGTGGTCGCTCTGAAGGATCCGGCCACGGGAAAGGTGGCGTTCTTCGTGATGGTCGGCCACTCCTTCGGCTTGGTCTCGGCCGTCTATAACTACAACCGCCGCTCGGCTGCGATTACCGACATTCTAAGGCGCGTGTTCATCGTGGCCGGCTTCAACTTCTATGACGACAAGTACGGCTTCGAGCCGGAGGCCACGGCAGATAGTGCGTTCGCGCTGGCCGAGAAAGTCCATTGGTGGCTCGGGGCCCGGTTCGATCAGCAGAAGCTCCAGCTCTGCTCGGATCCCACGATCCTGGGCGTGACCTATGACCTCGATCAGTACTTGCTCAAGATCAAGAAGTCCAGGAAGCAGGAGCTCTTCGACGAGATCTCGTCGATCCTGGAACACGAAGAGATGTCTCCCGGCCAAGCCGGGAAGCTCAGAGGAAAGCTGATGTTCGGCGCTTCGCAGCTCTGGGGGAAGATCGGCCGAGCCTTCCTGAGATCTCTGTCGGAGAGGCAATACTCCCGGAAGACGGTCAGTACGAGCCTATCGCCTGCTCTCCTCTACTCCCTCTACAAGTGGCGGACGCTCGTGATGCATGGGCCTCCGAGGCCTATCCCCAGTTCGGGGCCGCGGAAGTCCGACGTGGTGATTTTCACGGATGGATCGGCGCCGAGCTCGAACCCCAAGGATCCCTCTTCTGAGATGATTGGAGGAGTGATGTTCACTAGGGACGATCAGCCTAGGCAATTCGCCTCGGGGGTGTCACGGCAGATCATGTCGAGGTGGTTCCCCCGGAAAACCCAAATTTGCATGATCGAACTTTTGGCCGCGGTCGCTGCGATACAGACTTTCAGGGAAGAGATCCGTGGAAAGCTGGTCCTCCTCTTTATCGATTCCGAGCCTGTAGAGGCAGCTTTGATCAAAGGCTACTCTGCAAAAGAGGACGTCTGCGAGCTCGTAGGAATTTTCTGGGAGCTTGTTCTGGAGCTTAGGTGCTCTGTTTATATCGATCGGGTACCGACCGATTCGAACCCGGCGGATAATCCCTCTCGTGGTGATGTCGCTACAGGTCTGATGTGTGGTTGGATCACGGTCCTCTCGGACTTTCCGAAAGGAGTTTGAGGGCCTGGGAATATCGCTTGTCTGATGTGTCCGATCGGATGATGTTGCGGTCTGTGGCGAATGCCATGGCGCACCCCTCGGCGATCGGGGGTCCGATCGGACTTGTGAAGATCAAGTGAAATTTTGATGATCCGACTGTGGCCGACTCCCACGTTGCGGTCGCATGAAAAAGGTGCGATCGCCGATAGTCTGTTCAGTGAGGGCACCGAACGTCTGCGATCGTAGTAACTGGTCTCCTAATTATCGGTCTGGTGGGTAGGAATTAGGAGATCAGTTTCGCGATCGTTGGAACAGACTTGATCTATTTTCTCCGTGGCCATTTTGGCGATAGCCGATCGGGCCATACCGAAAAATCCCACCCTCTCCACCCTATCTGTTCTTTTCGGTATGCGGGATCCTCGCAACGACGTTGGCCTTCAAGCGCTCGCTTTCGGCGACACAGATCAGCTCTGCCGTCCCTGCGTGGATTGCGGCCTGTTCACCGGCTGCTTCTGCGACGGGGACGGCCAAGACGAATGTTACGCAGCCGTTGGGGTCCCCCGCGAAGAGTGGGCCCCCAACCAGCGCACTCCTTTGTGCACGGCTTGCGGTCGTCGCCTGGATATGTGTCATTTCTGCCGAAAGACCCCCTGGGTCACGCCGCCGGCTCATCGTGATCGCGATCGTCACCAGCCGGCCGGCTACGATCACGGGGCAGATCCTCCCCTCAACTGGGATCAAGTGATGGGCGTGCCCTCTGTTCAGCGGCCGGTGCCCAAAGCGCCCCCGGCCAAAGCTCATCGCAACAGAGGCATGGATCAGCCGGTCTACTATGTGGATCCCAAGGCTGGTCCTCCACGCCAAGGCCGAGCGGCTCCGAAAGGGCGTTCTCCTTTGTTCGCCGAGCCTGCTCAGTACATAGTTCCAGGGCAGCCCCCCAGATCGCTCGACGCCGTGCCCGATGACGTTCACATCAGCGGACCGGCTCACTATGTCATTCCGGGGCAGCCCCCGCGGCGGCTGGATCAGCTCCCGCCCGGTACGCAGCTCCCTCCCGGCACCGAGATCATGGTGCCTACGAGGAGCTCGAGTCCGCCGACCAAAGCGCCGCCGACTCCCGCCCAGATCGCGGCGTACCAGGCTTCTCGCGCTACTCCCGCTCGGACGAAAGCCAAAGCTACTCCTGATGCAGCTTTTCGTGCTGCCGAGCGGCAGTTGATCGACTTGCTCGGCGCGGCCCCCCTCGACGACGATCCGATCGAGGAGCCGTCGCCGGAGCCCGATGATCCGATCGAAGACTTTTAATTTTGTTCGCGGGGAATATCGCTTGTCTGATGTGTCCGATCGGATGATGTTGCGGTCTGTGGCGAATGCCATGGCGCACCCCTCGGCGATCGGGGGTCCGATCGGACTTGTGAAGATCAAGTGAAATTTTGATGATCCGACTGTGGCCGACTCCCACGTTGCGGTCGCATGAAAAAGGTGCGATCGCCGATAGTCTGTTCAGTGAGGGCACCGAACGTCTGCGATCGTAGTAACTGATATATATATATATATATGTAGGTCTGTATGTATGTGCACATATATATTTAGGTCCTGTGTCTGTGTGTGTGTGTGTGTCTGTGTCAGTGGCCGCTTCATCCTCAACCTTGACGGAAAGCCTTGATGCTTCTGAACTGCACATATCGTGTCAGCCCCGTCATCCCATGAAAACATCTAGGGCATTCGGACAAGCAAGACAAAAACCGTTGCCCGAGCATGGTGACATCTAAATGCCGGCTTGGCAGTCCCGATTCGAAGAAATATGTTGATCTTGCTCGCGGTCATCTAGCCTAGCTACAAACCCCGTTGAACAGACCTTGTGAAGCAGAGTCCAGATTCCCATACCCCGAGCCAGCTTAGCAACTTTCTGGCTTCTCTCTCTCTGGCTATCGCCGCTGGAATGAGCGCTTGGCATGTCCTCTACGCAGTCTGCCTGGCTCCTCGGCTGGCCACTTCAGATTTCGGCTGTAGGGGATTGTGGTGGGTCAGTGTTCATCAGAGATCAGCAGAGGCTTGGGCGCCGGTTGCCGCCGAGCCGAAGATATCCGTGGTCACAGCACTACTGCCCCCAAGAGGCACCAGACGGGTGTATGAGAGCAGGATTGCTTCTCCTGTTGCTCGCCTTGAGGAGGGGTTCCTGGTGATGCGGCCCGCGCAGACGGTGAGCCTGGAACGCGCGGGGCGCGCCTGCGAGTGGAGGCTTCCGGCGGCTGCTTCCGCTGGATCTCCCAAAGGTGCCTAAGATGCAGAACTGCAGAACATTTTCTTTCCGTCGGGGCTCGGAGTCGCAGCTCAGAGCTCAGGCCGGACCTGGTGGCCTTGGAGGAGCCGCTGCCGGAGGAGTTGCCGCCGCGGCGAGCTGCCGAGGCCGAGGCAGAGGCCGCCTGCCAGGAGGCGCCCGCCCGCCGTTACGGTGCCGCGGCCATCGCAGAGCTGCACTGTGAGCTGGTCAGGCATGCTTGCACGTGGGACGCCAGTTCCTTGTGCAAGAGGATCCAGGCACAGCTGGTGATGGCTGCAGCTTGGCGTTCAGACAGGGTTTCGGAGTCACACTAAGGAATCGGGGAGTTGGGATTGTTGATGGTAGCCCGTCTTTGCTTCCGACCGTACCCTTCGATGGCTCCTGGAAGCCGAGGTCAGCCAGTCGCAATCATTCGCAGCCTCGCGGAAAGCGTGGAGAATGTCGAGAAGGTCCTGGTTTTAGCCCAGGATATTCATTCATCCGGGGTTGAACTCCGATACTCGGCTCGCATGTTCGTCTCCGTTTCTGGATTGCACGGAAAGAGTTGTGCTTGTGCAACTGCCTTGGCAACAGAGGATGTGAAGTTTACATCGCCAACATCCACAGAATCGAGGCCTTCCTGGAGAGCTTGCGTTGTGGCATGACAGAAAAGGAAATTCGGTTCTCGTCAGGTTGAGACTTCTGTGCGCCGAATAAATGTGGATGATGTGGAGACGCTCGGTGTCAAGGCTTCGTTCTACCAGTCAGTTGTCAACATGGAAAGGTGCAAGTCTAAGTCTTCACTTCCTTCTACAACTTTTGATGTTTTGCGCAGGCCTACGACAAGCAGGGCAACGTTTTTTCGTCCCTGGAGGGTTTGCAGTCACTTCCCTGAGCTTGGGCATCTTGCAAACCGAGTGTGTCTGATGAGTGTTGTAGGATGTTGAAAGCACGCTGTGCACTCAGGTTCAGGTGGCGCATCGGAGACGAAAGCATATTGCAGAGACCGAAGCTCGTCGACTCGGTGGGCGGACGTTTTGTACAGTGCGAATGAGACCCCAATCCGCTGTTCCTTGTTCCATCGGATAACTCGATCTGGTTTGGGAGACGTGGACCAGTAATGACCAGTATCCACATGGGTCATTGTGTTGAAAAGTTGCACAAGCATACACGAAAACACCTCCTCGGTGTTGGAAACGAGCATTTACAAGCTTGCAATGCGAAGCATGGCAAGCTGGCACCGACGAGAAACTTTCAGTCCATTCCAAAGACACTGTGGAGACCAATTGTGAGAGGAATGGTGTTCACAGTCTGCACATCAGAGCCTTGCCTTGAGCTCTGAGTCTCGAGCAGGCTTTCAAGCTGAGCCCTGTTCGTCGTGCGTTGGCAGAGGTCGGGGAGAATTTGGAGTCTCTGAGCTCGCCTTTGAACGCCCTTCTGAGGCTGGAGCTGATCCTGACACGGTCCTCCTCCGCGGTGTTGCAACCGGGAGGCTGGGCCCGCACGGTGGCATGCTGCGGTCGTCCCACCTTCATGGCACCGATTGGAAGGACGACGGTCGGCGCCAACTTGACTGCTGGCATGCAGCACATCATCTCTCCCGATGTGCCTTTGACGGTGCTGGAAAACATCGCAACTAAGCTGCCCTGAGCCGACCTTCGTGCGTGCGCTTTTGACGAAATGAGCTGCAGACCACGCAGCCCTACCCAGGTACTGCTGCCATCGCTGCTGCGGGCACCACCCATGGCACATCTGCAGCTTCAACTTAAGGTCCTTCGCGGTCCACGCCGCCCTCTGGAGGAGTGGAAGCTTTGCAAGCTTCACGAAAGGATCGAAATGCATTGATGACATCCGAGAGGTGCACTGACAGCAAATCGGTTCCCGCCCTGGAAGGAGTTCCCATCAGTGGCGCTACCAGTGCCACATTTCAGCTTTCACGTGCAGGCGGTGGAAGGCCAGCACATTTTTTTGCCACCAACAAGCACCAACCAGCGAGCGAGCAGACACCAAACAGTATCTAACACCAAGTACCACCAAGCTGCGCCAACCACGGGCCACCACCCACCGCCAACCCCACAACCATGACAGCCATTGCAGCCGCCCTGGTCACTACACTGCCACCATCCGTTTTCACCGCCACCCACTGACACCACGACCACAAAGGTGACCAGAACCACATCACGCAGCAAACACTCTTCTTGTTAGTTACGGCAGGTTTTACACTCCAGACCAAGCTGTACATGAAAATCCAGTGAACAAAGTTCAATTCGTTGAGTACTGGCTGCTCGCAGTGAAGCTTTTCTGGATCTCCGAGGACCTTAAGCTCAGTTTTCCGCAGTTGAGATGGACTTGTCTGACAGCTAGAACCGGTTCCAGTGTCGATTCTCGTACTTTTAGATATGTGAGCCGGAGTTGAATGGCTTTGGACGAACAGCGGTTGAGACGTGGTTCCATTGCCAGCCGCCGGATTCGTGCACTGCTAGTCTTAGTGAGCAAGACATGCTTCAGTGACGTGTCTCTTGCTTGCCTCTGCAAGGTGGCCCAGACATCCTGTATGTCCAGCCGCAGATGGGCCGTGTGGTGACTCAGCGTCTTGGCTCCGGCCGAGTTCTGGCGGTGGACTCACGAGTCTCGGCGGGAAAGCCCTGATCGAGACATTTTCTCCGAGCTCAAAACCTGAAACACTGCGCCCGGCGCAAAGAAGCAGCTCCACCATTTTGTCCTGTTGTACTTTGTTTTTGATGATGCGTGCACCATGCTGTCGAAGAGTACCCTGGCAAGAAAAACCGTCATGTCTTCAGCATTTTATCGATAAGGACCTCAGATCAATCATCGTAGTTCCTTGCTTTCTCCCCAACGGCGTGGCGAAGGGTGCTTGGATTCGGATGGCATGATGTGATGATGTTGATCTAAGGTTTTCTCTTAAGTTGCCGTGAGGTTGCATGGCATGATGCTAGCAGGAGTCGCCTTGTAAAATGGCGCTGCGCTGGGCCTCGAAACGATTTTTCCGTCTCGGCGGGCCCGCGTCCTGCGGTAAGCGCGATCAGTGTAAATTCAATGTATTGTCATTGGCCTCGGTGCCGTTGGATGCAGTCGGCGCATCTGCATCTGGCCGTCAGCGTTACGTTGATGGTAGTCTCCAGTTCGCTGAATCCGTCAGCACTTTGGGGCAGCATATGGAAGCATGATAAAGCATGTTGGCCAGGTTTGTGGATCCCCCCTTCGGCCGTGCTCCTGAATCCCATCTGAAACATCTCGCTTGCGCAAGGATCGCGCTGCGCGTGTGGTGCTTGTCGATTCGCGCTTGATCATGTCTCTGAATCGCGCCAGTACCCGGGCGAAAACTTCTTGGCTGTGCTCCTACCAGCACATCGGGGGAAAGCAGCACCGCCAAATCGCGCTGAAGTGCCGTGACGTTTTGTGTTCGAAATGGACAACCCTCTTGGCGGACGCGTGTCCACATCCTCCGGTAAGCGTTGGCCTCGACATGGCAATCCTCTCGGTCGACGTGGCAGGTTCTGGTGCTGCACATGTGATGCCGAATTGATTAAAGCCTCGGAACGTTTGAGTCCCCGTCAGGGGAAGCATTTCGGTCAAGTCCGTGATTCCCGCCAGCACATGGCGTGGTCCGAATCGTTCCAGTACATGGGAAGCATGTTGGTCGAGGTTTTGTAGGTAGAAGTGAGAGAAGCTACTAGTTACTTGGAGGATTCATAATTACTCGGGTATTTCGGAGGGACTAGGAGGGTTTATGGAAGGGTTCATACAAGGCTTGATGGAAGTGTTTACGGGGGAAGATTTGCGGTTACAAACGACCTTGTAGGAGGGTTTGTGGAAGGATGAATGCATGGATGCAAGGACAATGGATGGATGGATGGAGGGATGGATGGATGGATGGGTCGAAGGATGGGTCGAAGGATGCCTGGATTCCTGGATGAGATGATGTTCAGTGTTGCCTCGCTGCTCTAAGCACTTCCAGGACACTCGTTCTCTGGTCGGGGATCCCACAAAAAATTCATGGTGGACCTGTTGGCAATGTAAAAAGAGCACACCTGCGAGTTGGTAGAGTGCACCGTCAATCCAAAGGTTTCATAACCGCCCTCACTGCGAACCAAGCCTGAGGGCCGGATAGTCATGTAACCAGCCCTGCAGAGCCGAAATCGGTTTTGTGCCTGCGCATGCGTGCCCCTCAGCCTCAGAAGAAGAGACTAGATCAGGAATTGAGAACAACACTGCGGCGTCGATAGTTCATGCAGCTTCTCTGCAACTGTTTTTCAAGCCCCTTGCCGGGTGTCGTAGGCAGTTCTTCATGTTCTCCTTCCGGACTGCTGAAACAGTGTCCGGAGGTTGCAGACCCTGCAGTGCTTCGCTTCGCCACGCTGCCACTATGGCGAGGGCCTGGCGTTCCCATCGATGCCCGCGCACCAGGCAGTCGCGGTTGCTTGCAACAAACAGGAGGGTTAGATCTGTAGCTGGCTCGTGCTGCATGGATTCTTGCTGTCGCCTCACACTTCTCAGCGTCACCCCGAACGGCCACGGGTCCAGAGGCTGGCTCGTGCTGTAACATCTACGTACTTCACGCCGTCCAGAAGTGATCTGGAGAAGTAGACTCTACTTCGATAACTTTCTTGCGTTTGCTCTTGCTCTGGCAGACCTGGCAGACCTGGCAGGATGGCTAGGGACGCTGGAGGGTGGCTGGGAAGATGCAGAGCTGCAGGTGCTACGTGCCGACACAGCAGGAGTCTCCTCAGCCCCTCGGTAGCGTTGATGACTTAGCGTGAAATGGCTGTGGCAGATGTTTTCATGCCGATTTCAGCATCTTTCAGCTGCAGGGCCGATGCTTTTCTCAAACCTGTGCTGCAGAGGCAGAGCCGAAGCTTCAGCTCGTGCAGGGCAGGCACAGGGCCGAAGCAAGCACTGCATAGCAGCGCTCGAGCTGAGCCGACCGAAGCTGGAGAGGACGTATGCCCTGAAACTGGAGCTGATGGACGGCCTTTCGCAGCCGATGCACCTCTGCAGCAGCGGAGCGATTACTTGCTTGGACTTCTAGTTCTGCAGACACTCAAAGGCAAAGCGTTTGAGGAGACTCCGCTTTCGAGGATTCGAGGAGGGAGGCCCTGAGACGCCATGGAACGTTTGGGTCCAGATCCCATCCCCGGTCCCTCTAATCCGGCTAGGATGAGCAGCAAGGCCACTGTCCGCTACAGCATGCTACAGCTTCAACGACTGCAGCAGATTGACGGACACGACGTCCGTTTCTCAAAAAGAGTAGGGGAAACCCTTTGATCTGAGCAGTAGAATCGTCGGGCATGGCCCTCGGCCAAATGTGACACCCTTGGTCTTGGACTCGGAAAACTTCGGTGTAGATTTCCGCCAGAGCCTCCCGAGCGAGGCAGCAAAATTACCCGACGGTTTGTCCTGAAGGCGGTTTCTGTGGGATCCAACTATTCAACCAAAGCACTTCACGCAGCTCTCTCGCAGCAACGTGCCCTCTGCCAAGCCCTTGAGACAGCGAAGTGAAGAGCCGGGGAAACCGTCCCGCCAAATCATGGGCAGCTTTGCTAATGAGAGCGGCTCTGCCCCACGACCGCAAGTCTGCCGAAGCCTGACCCCCTCAGCCGCCGCTTATGTACGAGGCCTTGAAACCACTAGCATTCTCGGGTCCCCCCCCTCGCCCCCCGCGACGGTAAATCTATAGACTCTTCTCCCTGGTCGCGGTGGCTGCTGAGTATTGGGTCGAAAGGCTTGACTTGGTTGAAGCGGGGAGGGCACGTGGCGCGAGGATGCTCCCTTCTGCCCTGTGGAGCGGCAGGATTTCTTCCTACAGGGAGTTACGAAGGGAATTAGAGTCATTAGAGAAGGCTGAAGGAGAGGGAAGGAGCGCGCCAAGGCTGGCGTCAGACCTGGGGGTGATACCATTGGGTGAGGGCGGGACCGGGTGCAGCAAAAGTGGGCACATAACATATTATAGGTAGAACACAGGTGTGGGTAGTAAGTTTGTTTGTGTTACAGGATTGAATCCTCAGCGGTAGAAAGCTTTGCTGTTTTGCAGGTTGTTGTGGCTCCTTTGAGTTGCCACTTCGGCTTCGATCCGTCTGTGCTTCCTGTGCCCTCACTGCCGGCGTGCGGCGTGAGTGCAGCTGTTGGCTGAACGTGTAGAGGGTTGTGTGCCTGGAGGAGTCTTGCAGCACCGTTCGGTGGCTTCGTGCGCATTCGAAGTAGATCGTTCTGCAGCTTCTAAGACATCGCACATGCCAACATTGCCAACAATCCAAGCTAGGCAGATTCCACTGAACCTTCGAGCAGAAGCTCGCTGTGTGGTGACTCGGCTCGCAACGCACACCTTTGAATGTTGTGAACCGCGAAGGAGCGGTTTGTGTGACATCAGTAACAGGCTGAAAGTTCATTGTTTCCGGTAAGCTTGTTGCATGCTGATCCCGCTGGGTGCTGATGGAGCTTTGTTAGTAGCGGTGTTGTGATGTTTGGAAGGTTGTCGGCCTTGCGACGCCAAGGCTGAGCCCGACATGCCACCGGCACTGCAGCTCGTGCATCAGGCGAGTGCAGACTTGTTGCGAGCTTCTGAGCTGGAGAATGGGTGTCAGGCTTCCAATTCTGCGGTCATCATCTTCCGTGCGGTGGAGCTGGGTGAGGCCACGGCCATCTGCCACAGACATCCGACTTCAGAGTCCGGACTTCCAGGGCATCATCACCATCGACGGCTTGGCTCTCCAGGCCGACAGCGAAGACCAGGTGCAGAAGGGTTTAGCAGCTTAGCACGGCTTCCGAAATCTTCCACACCGAGGCCCGTGGCCTGAAGACGCTTCCATTGAAGCTCACCGCGAAGCAGGCGAGAGGCAAACGGATCTTGCTTGCGGTTCTGGCCGCATTGGGGACAGGTTTTCCACGTGGCACCTGAGCTGCGACCACTAGTGCCGGTTCCGGGACCAATGCTGCTTCCGAGGCGATGCCACTAGCCTTCTGGAGAATCAAATGCGAGTGCACTGGTGCACGTTCAGGTGGCATTCCTACTTGCTGAAGGTCGCAGGTGGAAGCGGCCAGCAGGTCCACAACATATAGGGTGACATTCGCACACTTGTGGAAATTTGAAGCGAGCATGGGTTCCCGAAGGCATTTGCTTTAACCCAGCTGAATCCAGCGGGTGTGGCCAGCGTTTCTGCCGAAGGCCATGTGCAGGCTCGGAGTTTGGCAGACAAACTGTCCAATACTTCGGAGTGCGTGCCTGTATACATATTGCATATTACATATTAAATACATACTACATAATACATTAAGTAAATAGATAAATAAATAAATAAATAAATAAATATATTTTTGTATATATATTTATATGTATACATACATATATATATATATATATGTATGTATAGAGATATGGAGTGCTAACCTTTTCGGGCAGAATCTGGGAAAATCGGGCAACCATGGGTCGGGAAAAGAGGAGAGTTTTTCAAACAGACGAGGTGCAATTTTCAGACACTATCACCGCAATTTCAGGAACACCTACGGCAAAAGGTCGGGAAAGGTAGGGGGGAGGGGACTACGAACATATGTGAATTTACATGGCGTGTTAAAATGCGATATCTCTCTTCGTTCCTGTGTCACTGGACGATATTTACCATTTACCTTGCGGAAGGCAAAGGAAAGGGCTTAGGATCTAGGGTGTAGGGTTTGGGGATTAGTGTTTTCGGGTTTAGGGTTTAGGGTTCGGAAACGGTGTGGGGGGGGGGGTGGCGGGGGTTCGAACTTTTGTGCATGTAAATGGCATGTTAAAAGGCATAGCGATATCTCTCTTCGTTCCTGTGTCACTGGATGGTATTTGCTCCTGCTGAAGGCAAAGGAAAGGGTTTGGGGTTTAGGGATTAGGGTTTTTGGGTTTATGGTTTTTGGGTCTAGGGTTTAGGGTTTCGGAATGTGCCTTCGTCTATGCACGATGTTCTCGGACCTGTGTGAAAAAACGTGTCTCTATTCCCGATTTTACTCCTGCATCTTTATGAAAATCCCAACGCCTATGCTGAACATAGATCCGTGAAAATCTCAGCACCCTGTAAATACATACATACATATATATATATATATATATAGCTACCCCCTCGCCAGGATCTACCGTTTTTATGTGTCTGAGAACCGGATGCGAAATAGTGGGTATTCTATAACGTATTCCGTTCTCTTTATAAGCTCTTCATAAAATTAGTCTCGATTTGATCAGGGATTTCGCAGATCCTAGATTCTGCAGTTCCTTCATATACACCCTTGTAGTATCACGACAATTATAGATATGAAACTAGGACCCTATTTCTACACCTCCCTTATAGAAGACGCATCGAGATTGTAGATAATGTCCGTGAACATGAAATTTATCGATATTTCCAGGGTGCAATACCTTGTACTTCACCAATATAATACCCCTTAGAATACATTTTGGAATACTTTGCAAAATTCCACTCTCATAACCTAAATATCTTATAGACATCCATCCGGAATATCCTGTCGAATACCTTGACCACCTATATACCTTATAGGGCATATACCCTGTAGGACACTTTATACAAGACACTATATAGAATACCTTATAGGATGTCCTTTACAAGACTTTTTTTTATGTATCCTAAAAATTTCATATAAAATACATTGATATATAGAGAATACCCTCATGCCTTTTTGAATAGAGCATCTAGAATACCTTATCATATACTTTCAGGCATGGCCCGTATATCAATAGAATACCTAGAGTAGCTTTTCGAACAAAGGAGATATGTGAGGACAATCAGGACGAGCCCAAGATTTGAGAACGCCTCATGAAAAAAACAGCTTACTGGGTAAGGGATTTCCAGGAGCGATCCAGGAATCGAAGAGAATAAAGAATTTTGTACAGGTGGCCCTGGGTAGTACATTATAGAATATCCCTTATATACCTCTATAGCCTATACATTGCGTTATAGAATACGTCCCATAAGGCAACTGTTACGTTTATGCTGATGCCTTGTACAATCCCTTATACAATGCGTTATGGAGTACCCTCTAGGACGCCCAAAACATACGTTACATAATATGCCCTTTATAGGCATTATAGAATATCATTTGCAATACCCTACAGACTAGCTTACAGCAAACCCCCTGTCTATGATACCCTCTGAGTAAGACACACCTCTAAAGAAAACCCTGTGGAGTATTCTATAAGATAACCGTAGAATGCACCGTAGAATGCTTTGTAGAATATTTTATGGATAACGAATTAATGAGGGGAAAATCAGGAGCAGAATGCAAAAAACAATAGCCTATAGAATACCTTGCAAAATACTCCCTCTTTACATCTTAACGAAATTCATTTAGATAGACCTAGATTATAGAAACCCCCCTATATACCTCTTATGAACCTTGTTGAATACCTTATAGCCTATATAATGGGTTACAGAATGCGTTCTAGAATGCAACTTTTACGTTTATGCTTATGCCTTGTACCATCTTCTATACAACGCTTTATGGAGTTCTCTATAAAATAGGCCTTATAGAATACAATTTGCAATACCCTTGAGACTACCTTACAGAATACACCCTGTGTCTGAGACCCTCTGAGTACCGCATAGAAAGCCGTAAAGAAAACCCTATAGAATACCCTGTAGAATACCCCATAGAAGGCCTGAACCGCGATTGCACTCAAACGGCCCCGATTGTACTCAATCGGCCCCGATTGAACTCAATCGGGGGCCAGATTGAACTCAATCGGGCCAGGGTGGATTTCACCAAACCACAAAATGGTCCATCGGCTAGCCTCTCCTCAGGGATCTTTCGTGTGGTGGGACTCTGAAACACACGAAAATGGTAGATCCAGGGTGGGGGTGCCATAGATATAAAAATATATGTTTTTTTGTCTATATATGTATATATATGTATGTATACATATATGTATATGTATGTATGTATATATATATATATGTATATATATATATATATATATATATGTATATGTATATATGTATATGTATATGTATATGTATATCTATATGTAAATGTAAATGTAAATGTAAATGTAAATGTGCATGTACATGTATATGTATATGTATATGTATATGTATATGTATATGTATATGTATATGTATATGTATATGTATATGTATATGTATATGTATATGTATATGTATATGTATATGTATATGTATATGTATATTATATATATGTATATGTATATGTATATGTATATGTATATGTATATGTATATGTATATGTATATGTATATGTATATGTATATGTATATATATATATATATATATATATATATATATATGTATATGTATATCTGTATATGTATATGTATATGTATACATGTATATATGTATATATATGTATATATGTATATATGTATATATGTATATATGTATATATATGTGTATATATGTATATATATATATATATATATGTAGTTATATATGTATATATGTATATATGTATATATGTATATATGTATATATGTATATATGTATATATATGTGTATATATGTATATATATATATATATATATTAGTTACTTGCTACCAAGGCTTGCCGACTTGCAAGACTTATGTCAGGAGACGTCTGCCAAAATGGCTCTGCCATTTTGGCTCAAGATCGTGGACCGTGGGTCCTTCTAAATTTGTTACTTTCGCTGCCGCTTTCTCACTTGCGACTGTCGACCATGGCACTCACCCCCGTTGCTAATGTCGATGACGTCCTTGCCTCCAGCATGGAGACGGTTGAGAGCTTGGTCCCCCCTCGCGACACAGGGGACAGTGATCCGGAATGGGAGAAGCCCGACGATGATGTTGCCTTGGCCCGTGCTACCTTGGCACACAATGTCCATGCCCATGAGGATGAGACCGCAAACACGGCCCTGGCTTCCTTCACGGCTCTGGAGGTGGATGACACCAGCATGGCCCTTCGGCTCCAGGAAATGGAAGCGGCCATGTCCCGCCTCCTGGCAAAGGGCGACGAGATGGTGGCTGTCACTGGACAGGAGGTGCCAACCACAGGTGACTTTGTCCCTGAGGAAGGTGCTCCTGATGATCCCATGGGAAGTGAGGATGTGCCAACCACAGGTGACTTTGTCCCTGAGGGAGGTTCGTCTGATGACCCCAAGGACAAGGCAAACAAGACCAGACCTTACTCTGCCCTACCCGCCGGCACCCTGGAGGAGAAGGTCTTCCACATCGAGGGCTTCCCAGAACTTCCGGGCATCGGCAAGAAGAGTGCGGACCTGGCACAGCAGTTGACGAAGGAGGAGATCGCATCCTTGTTCTCCAAGCTCAAATCGGAGCAGTGGAATCGCCCGGCCGTGGAGAGGGTCCTGGAGGTGTATCATATCTACAAGCGCCAGTTGGCCCAGGAGAAGATGCTGGCTGCCCCCTACAACCGTGCTCGCAGAGGGGTCGGACACAGCAGCATGGGTCAGTTGGACCCTGGCAGCACTGGGGCTACCCTCATGTGCCCAAACTGTTTTTCGGATTGGCAACGGCAGGACAACAAGGTCGAGGGGAAGTGCAAGCTCTGCCAGAAGTCCGTCATTGCAGTGGACAAGGGCCCCCCCTCGGCAGAGATCAAGCTCGGCTCTTCTTCCTGGCGGATGTTTTGTGGCCCCAGAGGTGTCACTTGGCACACGGATGCTGATGAGACACAGAAGGAAGCCGCCTCCGTGGACATTGGCTCCTGGGCCCAGCCTCCCCCCAGGCCAACAGACCAGAAGGAGCTCAGCTTTGCCGACCAGGTGCCTATGGCCCTGAGGCTTAGCCTGGCTCACACGGTGGCAACCCAACCCTTCGACGAGGTGAGGCGGGAGAAAGACCCCACCTCAGAGACGATTGGCAGCCGAGCCAGGAGACAAGGGCTTTCCACCCGCAGCTGGCCGCAATGGACATTACGAAGAAGAGCTCGGGCCCAGTAGACAAAGACGCCAAGAAGCCCACGGAGGAGGAGTTCCTGGACCACATCAACCCCCAGCTGGATGTGATCGTCGAAATGCAAGCGGGCGCCCAGAGTGTCGACGAGGCCAAGGGCGCGTCAATCCTTCGCCAGCTCGACACAGAGAAGCTTCGCTCCCTTCTGAAGCGAAACTACCTCCAGGGCCCCGGGAATCAGGGAGAGGAGTTTTTCTTTGCACAGACTACCTTGGAAGAGGCCAAGGCCTCTAACAAGCGCATGCAGGATGA